TATAATTGGCTTTGCCCAACACCCTGTTTTTTTTTTTTAATGGAATCGGCTATCCGGTAGATGTAAGGTCAAATAAGTTGCAAGACCACTCCTATCCCCATTGTCCACCACTACCTATCTAGTCTCACACAATAGTCTTACGGGAGAAATTCCACTGTCTCTATGCAATTTGAATCAGTTGGGAGTTCTTGATCTGTCTCACACAACTTAAATGGCAGGCTTCCACATTGTTTGGGCAATTTAAGTCATCACCTATCGATACTAAATTTGCAAAATAACAAATTTGTGGAAGGATTCCTCAAAACTTAGTGAATGGGTCAAATTTGAGGATGATTGATTTAAGCGAGGATCCCAAGAACATTTGCCAGTTGTATAGAGCTAGAATTTCTTGATCTTGGAAATAACCTATCAGTGATACTTTTCCATCTTGGCTAGAATCTCTTCCAAAGCTAAAGTTTCTTATCTTACAATCCAATAGATGGAAGGTGCAATGAAAGAGCCTGAACAGATTTGCCTTTCCGGAACTGTAGATTATTGATCTCTTCATAATAGATTTATAGGTAATCTTCCATTGAAATACTTCAAATCTTGGCATGCCATGAAAATTGTTAGTGCAAGTCCATTAGCATATTTCAAACGGTGGATTGGGACAGTTTCATTAATCACTTATGACGATGAGAGAATTGATCTTTACCAGTGAGTTACGTTACTCATTGCAAACGAGTACCAAAGGCGTAGAGCTGGAATATGGAAAGATCTCAAATCTCTTGACTGCCATTATTTTCTCCAGCAAATAAATTTGAAGGAGAGATTCCAACATCCATTGGAAAGCTGAAAGGGCTTCAATTTCTCGTTCTTTCGAACAATAATCTCAAAGGCCCCATCCCACCATCCATAGCAAACCTAACAACAATGGAATCATTGGACCTTTCTAATAACAACCTCTCAGGATTGATCCCCACTACAAGACCTCACATTCCTTTCACACTTCAATGTCCCAAATAACCATCTCAGAGGACCCACCACAAGGAAAGCAATTTGATACGTTTAAGAATAATTCATTTGAAGGGAACCCAAGATTATGTGGAAAGCAGATAGGAAAAAAATGCGAAAAGTTTCAGCCTTCAAGAAAGAGAAAACCCTGCTGGCTCCAAGTTTCCATTTGAATTTGGGTGGAAAGTAGTTCTGATGGGGTATGCAAGTGGACTAGTTATTGGGGTGGCTCTTGACCATGCTTTCTCTCCTAGAAAAGAGGAACGGTTTATGAGATTTTCAGGAAGAAATCCATGAAAGCAATTGGGAGAAACAGAGCTCACAGAAACAGAACGTAATCAGCTTTATTTCTTTTTCTTCACAGAGTTTAAAGGGATAATTGGTTTAAACCCCCAGGTTTGTCCCAATACAGATGTTTATGCCAGTTAATAAATGTAGCTGTTTTTCTTCTGCAGTGGCGAGATTTAGTCATCATAAATTCTATGATAGCTTGCTTAAGCTTAACTGTGTAATCTATGAAGAATCTTAATGGATGGAGACAAAACATTACAATAGCATTAATTAAATTTATCTAGCTATTTCATTGTTTTGTGATTATTTAAGTCTTGGTCTTGTTGACCTTATTCATTACGTCGAGCTATCCATGAAAGGGGACGAAGAAAGCTTGCAGCTTCACATTTTGACCTATATATGAATGAAGACAATTTCACTCCTCATCCTGAATCACGAACTTGAGATTTACTATCACATACTGATACTCTTCGGCCCGTATGTCTTCTACGGTCTGGGTAACCAGACAAAGATGTTATAATATCATAGAGAACTCCATTGATGAGAATGCTGATCTTTTACCATTGATTTACGGTTACTCAATGCAAATGAGAACGAAAGGCATAGACTTGGAATATCGAAAGATCTCAAACTTGGTTCGGCAACAAATTTGAAGGAGAGATTCCAACATCCATCGCAAATTTTAAAAGGGCTTCGTTTTCTCGTTCTTTCTAACAATGACCTCAAAGGCCCCATCCCACCATCCATGGGAAACCTAATAGCACTGGAATCCTTGGACCTTTCTAATAACAAGCTCTTAGGACAGATTCCTCAACAACTAGTAGACCTCAAATTCCTTTCATACTTCAATGTCCCAAATAATCTTCTAACAGCACTCATACCATAGGGGATACAATTTGATGCATTTGAGAATAATTCTTTTGGTGGGAATCCAGGATAGTGCAGAAAGCAGACCTCAAGGAAAGAAGAAGATCCAAGCTCAATATTTTTCAGCTTTTGTGGTGGGGTTGTTTTGCTGGTTTATGATGTCATTAAACAGTAATTAAACGTATAACTAAGGGGCACAAAAAACTGACCATGTCAACAATGAGGAAGATATGGTTGTTTGATTGGAGAGAGTTGGGCTTGTCCTGCACGTCGGAGCATCCGATTATGGTGTGGCCTCGCTTGGCAAACTCTAAAGTGAGAGCTTGTCCTGGCCTCTTGCTCACTCTGGTTGGTCGTACTGTGCATGAACTGTACTTTGTTGTGCCGTTAAATGTCGTCGTCGCTGCTGCCATATGATGCCTGTTTGTACAATCCTTTCCCGACTAAACTTTGTCGAAAGATTGGACACGTGTCTTGGGATGGAATGTACACGTTCACGTTAACCTTAGGATGATAAAATAATAAAAATCTTAATGAAAATTTAAAAATAATAATAATAATAATAAAAGCTTTATACGTTTTAAATAAATGGGTGAAGAACAATTTGATAATATTTACTCACATATAATATAATTGGTTTTAATATCTCATTAAGAGTTCATTAACAACAAAAGCTTTGAAAGAAATTTTGGTTAATATAGAAACCTTCATAGAATACAAATATTTTCTTTTTAAAGTAGGGTGTTTAGGACAGTTTACGTGTATTTTGACTAATCTTGATAAGTTATTATTACAATATCTCACTATTATGATCACCTGTTTAAATTTTAATGTTTATTATAATTATTAAACTTAAGATTGTGAATGGAAGATCAAACTTAGAAAATCTTAGGCTACATTTGTTTTGATATTTTGAAAATGTCCTATTTCTATCCTTAAAAAAAATGTATATTTGTTTCTCTATTCTCAAAATTCTATCCTATAATATTCAACTATTTTAAACCCCTATAGGTATGTTAATTTAACTAAACACACTAACAAAATTTTTTTATAAATTGATAAAAACACCCATACTCACTCATATTTGTCAAATTCCGGCAACCACCGTTGAAAGGTGGTCGAAATCCGATGTAATGGCACACTATCGATTGGATTTAGCGGATAGTGTGCTGATCTGACCTTTTCCAACCAGATCTTTGGCCACATTTGGTTGTCAACGACGGCTAATAAATGGCTATTGTTGATGGGCAAATCTAGCGGTGGATTTGGTCGTAGGATTGGTCTTTTTTGCGAATCTAGCCGAAAAAAGCTATAGCAGCGCACGACTGGCTAGATCTAACAAGTCGTGCGTAATGACACCAGATTTCGACAGTGGTAGCCAGAATCTGACAATTGTGGGTGGGTGGGGGTGTTTTTGTTAATTTATAAACTTTTTATTATTAGATATTTAGTTAAATTAACAAACCCAAAAGTCTTTTTTATTAATTTTCAAATCATATCTCATAATAATAACCTTACTCAACTTAACAATAATATTTTAAAAATACTATTCAAGATCGTTTAAAATCTTATTTATTTATTTATTTAATGACATATAATATTTTGATGTATTAAGTCTCTAACAGTGTTCCTATGACTTATAGATCTTACTCGTAAAGCTATATACAGATATTATTGCCAAGATCTTTATCTCATTTTGGATTTGGTATATGATAGACTCATTTAAGTCCACTTGTATTTTTTTTTATTATATTTTTTCTAACTAATACTGCACTATTGACTCATTTTTTAATAATTAAGGTCGGAATAAGTTTTTAATGTATAAATAATTCGTCAAGAGTCAGATACAACTCAATAAATAGATTTGTTCGCTCATTGGTTTGATAATTTTGGCCTCATATAAATCATTAGAATAATGAGTAACTATCAGTGACCTTATTGGGTTGCACGTTATGATTATGGTCAAATTTTGGACGATATTTTAAGGGATAAAACCTCCTCGTAAATATATCGGTGAATAAATTAATTACTCCTTTCGTTTTTATATAAAAGTCGTTTTAAACTTGGACATGATTTTTAATAAAAAAAATTTTATCTCTCCCATCCAACTTTTCCCCTTGATTTTACAGGTGGAAAACTTTCCCGTTGCATATTTAAATAATTTACATTTGTCTTATTTACTCCTTCAAATCCCTCGACTCTACAACAACCCGGTGAAACGTGACTCCTTAAAGTGAAAGACTTGACCTTCAATAAAGTCTAAGTCAGGGATCCTATCTTTAAACTTTGTTCCAAAAAAGAGAGAGAAGATGGAAGTAGAGACGCAAAGTAGAGAAAGAAGAAGTGAACGATGGAAAATATGGATAGAGGAGAAAGGGGGAAAGAGATAAGATAAAGAGAGACAGATGAGACGTGAGCCATGACGAAAAGTAGAGAAAAACAAGATAAGGAGTGACTTTTAATTTGAAAAAATAAAACACCCTTAAAATAATTTTTATATAAAAATAGGAGTATTTTATAAGGGCAACTTTATTACCATATTACAGTGGGTAATGTAATGTTGAAATTCCTCGCCAAATAGTATGATTAAAGGAAATCGAAATACATAAATTTCAACCATATTAAGTGCAATCAGGGCAGTTAGAATAATTAATTTTTCCAGAAAGAGAAAAAATATATAATAAGATTCAGGACATAATGGTTTGATTGTCTCACAGAATGACACAACTGCACGCAAGTCTCAATGTCTTAAAGACAATTTAAAACAACTTAGGGGTCATAACGCTTTGTCAAAATATTATTTTGTAACTTGAACTGCCTCTAAGGACCGGTATTTCAGAACCGCTAAAACATTTTAAGTGTGACTACAGATTTTCAATATAAACGCCACGTGTATACTCAGCTTTAACCTTTAATCAATGAATAAACTCGTGCAAACAGCTCTCAGTTCTTTCGAGGAAACAATTAAGCAGAGCTAGCTCAAATCAAACATCAAAAAATTCAAGTTTAGGTAATTTTCGCAGTGTTAAATGATATTTCTTGTATATCCCAGTTGGTATTTCTTGCAAGATGTTAATTTTCTTTTGGTTTATTCATTTGCACTCTAACAGTTTGTTATTTTGCCCCAGTGAACAGAAACCATTTAGTTTTATCATTTAAATGTGTCTACCCTGGCATCAAGATTGAACTGACGGAAGTACTGTAACTTGAATAAAGTTGATGAAAGATAATGATCTTGATTGTGCTTGCAAGAAATGATAGAATGTTCATTTAGCATAACTTTTGTAAATTGTAATCTTTTTTGACAGAAATTTAATGGTTTGAAAGTTCATAGAAAGCACTTTATCAATGGCCTGGAATGTTAGTTCTGATACGAATGGTAGGCGGGTTTCAATTTGCTAAATCAACTAGTTTTTGTGTATCTAGGATGATGGCAAATGGACCATCTTTTGCAGGATGAATAACTGATTGTTTTGTTCCCTTTTTCTGATAATTATATGTGCATTTTTGTAGCTTTGTATAGACGGTGCTGATATTGTATCATGATATGGTTGCATTAGTGAATGGTAGAAGATGGCTAAAGAAAATGTCACACTAATGTGTTACTGGAATGGGAAGATAACAAATGGAGCACAAGGCATTACTTATGAAGGTGCTGTCCCAAAGCCTACCAGGGTTAGCTACGAAACAACGCATAATCAGTTGCTGGAAAAGATGTATGAGATTACTGGGTTTGACCAGCAACAGAATAAAATGAAGATCATATGCAGGTATCCAGCTTGTCGGGAATTCATACCTGTGCCCATCACTGATGATGAGTCTTTAGATATTGTATTTGATGTGGCACGAAAGCCTGGAACAAATTGTTTGGAATTGTATTTGGAAAGAGAACCAACAAGCATAGATAGCCAAGTAAATATCACAACTCAAATCCATGTGGATAATCAAGTCACAAAGCCGGTCTGCTATGATAATCAGGTAAATATACATAAATTTCTTGATGTCATGGGATTAATTTTCTTTGCTTTAAAGTAAGAGTTGTGACAGTTCTTTATACAGATAGTAGTAGATGGGGACAACTGTAATGCCAACCCTGATACCTTTTTAGACCCAGGGCCAAGTGACAAGTCTGTGCTTGTGTTGCAAGACCAGCATAGATCTGAAGCCATATGGGCAGGAGAGGTTAGTATCACTTCATTCTCTTGCCATCTGGTGTAGTGATTGGTTCAATGCAAAATAACTGAAGAAAAGTGAAGTCAATGGAGTACTTTGATTACAGGACCCTGGTGTCTTAACATGTAGACAGAGATTGGGTACAATGATGCGAGAGTGGCAATTGGATCACCGTATTCGTCATTTTGTTGTTGAGGCTGGGTTCTATGGGGTATACAGAATTGGTTTTATTCAACTTGACTGGCCCTTGGTCACTGCATTGGTTGAGAGATGGAGACAAGAGACACACACCTTTCATTTTACTGTGGGTGAGAGTACTGTCACACTACAAGATGTAGCAGTACTGTTAGGCCTTCGTATACATGGTTATCCTGTGACTGGTAGTGCGGACCTCCAGTGGGATGACCTCTGTGAAGAGTTGTTAGGGGTGAGACCAGATCCTAGTGTTCTTCATGGTTCAACCCTGAAGCTTAGATGGTTACGAGGCCATTTCCAGCACCTGCCATTAGATGCTGATGCTGTAACTATGCGGTGCTATGCTAGGGCATATATCTTAGGCTTATTGGGGTCTCTCTTTGCAGATAAATCTGGTTCGGATGTGCAATTGATATTCTTACCTCTTCTAAGGGATTTTAAGTATGCAAGGAAATTTAGCTGGGGTAGTGCTGTACTAGCCTACCTCTATCGTGAACTCTGCCGGGCTAGTAAGAAGGGGGCCAGTGAAATTTCTGGTCCTCTAATGTTGTTACAGGTATGTATACTAAAATATATTTTCAAGTACAGCATATAAAGCATAATATTATTTTTTCTCTTGATATTATGTAAATTCTTATTCCTATAGTTATGGGCATGGGAGCGTTTGCATATTGGTCGCCCTGAGAGGTTTGTTGCCCAAGAGCAGGATCCAGTTATTCCAGATGGTGAAGTTGTAAAGAATAAGGTGCAAGTTTCAGGAGTTGAGATGGTCAATCAAGAGACATTAGCTGCAGATCCATTAGGATGCAGGTAGTATAGCATACTATTTCATTAATATATGCTTTTCAATATACTTAATTGTCTTACAACTGTTTTCTTCTAGAATAGATGGAGGTCTCCTGTCATCCGCAGAGATAACCCTCAGAGGGCATTGATATTTTATCGAGACCAGCTTGATCAACAAACATATGATCAGGTTTACTTTTGATTGACTGTTCTTTTATGATCTTGTGCATTTGATGAGATACACTTGGTTGAGCTAGTACCAATTTTTAAGTGGAACTTTCCTATTAAAATTCAGATGATATGGCAGCCATACATGTCTGAGTTACTTGTGTCCCCAGCAGATGTATGTGTTAGAGACCAGCATGTGTGGAGGACAATTGCTCCACTTATTTGCTTTGACATTGTTGAGTGGCATCGTCCTGACAGAGTTCTACGCCAATTTGGTCTCAAACAAGGAATTCCTATGCAGTGTGATACTGAGGTGAAAATCCATGCTATTGATAGACGGGGTCGACATCATTACAATTGGAAAGCATATCATCAACAATATATCAAGTTATGGGCATCTCAGGAGAAAAGTATAGTTACCGCTGAGCCTGAGGAGAGCACTATGCATTATCATGACCCATACATGAAGTGGTACAGAAGCATAACTCGTCGTTTGATTACCCCACTCACTCAAAGACCTCATAAGCGAATTCAGCCTGCTAGTGGGATGTCACATTTACTGGTATGAATTATTATAAGTTATTTGACTTTTGATCTTGTATTACTTATCGGTCAATATTGATTGGATTTCTATGTTTGGAATGGAAGGTCCATAGCTTGACAAATATTCACAATCAATGCACTGCAACCCTTGGTACTTTTACCAGTGAAAGTGGTATGCAGTCATTGACAAATATCCAGATTATGTGCACTCGTGTGTTGCAAACGATTGGGGAGATTCGACACCTTGAGACAATACAAGCACCTACCACAACCATGGCACCACCATCTCCTTCACAAGCTAATGATATGGAGGGGCTACCACTTCTAATAGCACAAATGCCAGCCAAAACTAAATCTCTATCAATGAGAGGGCGAGGCAGAGCCAAAGGTCGAGGCCGAGGACTTGCAACACAACAAAAGGCAATGGAACTAGTAATAACATCGCAACAGTTATCCCCACAAGTGGTGGTAGCATCGTACACAACTCCGTCACAGAGTAATGATATTCATATAGAGGAGCCTTCAACTCTCAATTTGGAGGGGCCTACGGCACCAGCGGAGTCAGTGCATCCACTCGAAGGTGAGACAACAACAGAGAAAGTGCTACTTTATCCACACTCTGGTTCTGAGGAGTCACCATGTCTCACTCAAGTTGAGTCCAGCGATGTAACTAGACATAAGAAGAAGCCTAAGTTCCTTTGATGTTGTTGATGATCAAAGTCTTCTATACTGATACTTTTTGTTCCTTGAACTTTGTGAATATGAAAGAATCTTCATTAACTTTTAGGATTTAAGTTTTTCAAGATTTTTAGCATCAGGGTTTATTTGGTACTTCTCAAATATGTTTATAAATAGTGTTGCAAAAGTTCAAGATTCTACCTTATATTTCATTGATTCTCTGGCAGAATATGATGCGTTGAAAAATTAGAATAGAAAAGTCTTATAATTGTAAAGTTTTTCTTTCCACCTATTATTAGAAGTATAGTCTGTAATGAACTTGAAATCCGGCTTTGCCGCTGCGTAAATGGTTTTTGGACTCCAACATGGAATCATTCTTTATTTTGAACCTAAGTTCAAATAAGTTGTGCAACCACTCAGTTATGATGATGAGGGTTATTCCTTATTGCAATTCAAGGAGAGCCTAATTATCAATAAGTCTGCTTTTTATGGTCTTGAGCATGCCTTTCCTATAAAAAAAAAAAAAAGAAAGGGCTTATGATGATTTTCAAGGGGAAACTCATGAAAACAATAAGGAAAAACAGAGTTCATAGAAACAGAATGTAATTAGCTTTATTTCCTTATTCAATCTTTGGAATTGGAGGCTGAAACCAATGTTCATCTTTTGAGTCCATGAGTGGAACCCCTGATTCATCTTGGAATACATCCGTGGAGAATGTGTCGGCTTTGTGGACAGTCGGCGGGGGCAGCAGCTACGCCGAAGACTTGTTTGTGTTTAGTTAGTCCTGTTTTTTTATTTTTATTTTATTATGGTAAAAGTAAGAGGCAATTCCGTGTGCACCAGTTTATAATGTCCTAAAGCATCCCATCTCTGTGTCTGTGTGATGATAGTGTTTCAGGGGTTGAGTTGGGCTCTTTTCTGGATACCTGTTTTTTGGTGGGCCAACCCGGATACATCTCCATGTTGCAGCCATTGAAGTCCTCAAGTTGTCTACTCAAAGCGGAATCTGTCTACTACCTCTTTTTTATGATTTGTTTTTGTTTTTTGTTTTTTTTTTTTTTTTTTTTTTTTTTTTTTTTTTTTTTGTTTTTTTTTTTTTGTTTTTTTGTTTTTTTTTGCCAATTGAATTCTTAGTAGACTAAGCTTGGAAAGGGATTAAATTTCGCAAATTCTCTAACCAAAATCCAATCTTTCCAACAAATGAATGGAATACTTTCATACTTGAAGCTGACCCAAGAGGGTTGTCTTGGGATTTCTTTACTTGAGCCAGAATGGCATTGTAGTTGTCGACATGAATATACTTATACAGGCGCTTAAAATGTGAAACGGGTTTGTCCCAACTCAAAACATTGTCACATTGGACCAAAAAAATATGTCAAATGTAAATATAAGACACTAAAAATGGTTGATACCGAACTCATTTTTTACGTCAAGACATTAATTCAAGCTATATATTTTGTTTACACATGAGAGAATGAGTTAATTTTTTGTCAACTTTAAATTTCTAAACAAAAAGCAACAGTCAGTCTATGACTGTTTTTGGACCCTATTCAAACACTATGAAACTATGAACTCAAATAAAGCAATTTCTCCCAGAAACTTGGAGAATCCAAACTCAACCAAGAGTGAAATTACACCAAAATCTATTTGTGAAGAATATATACAGATATTCTAAGTGAAAGCAAGGGCGATAGTTTCATCAAACAAAGCATGCATTGTATTGGAGAATACTTTTCAATTATGTAGTCATCTTTAAAATTTCTTAGTGAGATGTTCAAAACACAATTATATCCTTCTTTATGGTTTAACTTTAAAACAGTAGGTCATTTTGAAGTACACTATTATATGGCTCTGTATATGTGAAGTTCCAATCAATAAACCATATGATTGCAGCTACATCAGGTGACATTGGAAAAGAAAAATACATAAGAACTGTTCATATATGGTGATATGAAGCCACATACTTTAATGACAAGACTGCTTAGCGAGATGATCTACAACATGATAAAACCACACCCATCGCCAGTAAATTTTCTTAAGGTTTGAAAATGTCTTTGGGATGGACGCTGTCAGTTTGTTGTGGGATAAATTTAGTGTAACAATCCTGGTAAGGTTACCAATTTGAGGAGGAATTTTACCCGACAGTTTGTTGTTGAAAATATGCTTACTGAATGATTCGAATTAAAATAGAAAATTAAGGGTACATATAATGCAAGGACATATTTTGATCACAAATTGTCAAAGGAAATAGTCTACAATGAAATAGTAGGAGGAAGTAATCCACTTTTCGACAAGATAAAACCATACTTGCCGCCAACGAGGATTTACATACAGAACAACAAAAACCCCCAAGAGCATAATTATGTAAGACACTGTAAAACTAATGTAAAACATGCCCCAGTCAATGAAGTTACTATCTTCATGCTCATCAACTACTGAAGTTGGAGGTGATTCAATTTCCTTGCATATTTTTGACAAAGGAAGTCCGCAAAGCAAGGGGTTTCCCTCGTAGCAAATGTCCTCAAATGTTGCAAATTGGTTAACGCGTTCAGGGACCTTACCTGATAAGTTGTTGTGTGCTACTGTGAAAACCGCCAAATTAGAAAGCTCAACAAACTTAGGAGGGATTTTACCATTCAAGTTATTGTAGGAAAGATCCAAACTCTCAATTACGTTGAGGTTTGAAAGTTCTGAAGGAATTGGACCTGTCAAGTTGTTATGCGAGAAGTTTAAACTATGGAGCATAGTAAGGTTTCCCATCTGATGAGGAATTTCACCAATTAGTTTATTGCAAGAAAGATCAATTCCAGATGCAGATACAAGAGTCTCACCCAAAAAGTATGTGTAAGCAGGAACTTGATGCGGAAAACTAGAAGCTGAAGTTGCAGCATAGTAACCTCTGTTATAGCGTTCACTCATATTTAAGCAAGGAAGAATGAAACCTGTAAACTTGTTATGAGAAAGATCCACAATACGTAAGTGGTCTAACTCGCACAATTGCAAAGGCAGTTCACCATCCAAGTTATTGTTAGCCAAGATGAGGTGACGTAATAGAGAAAGCCTGCCAATCCAGTTTGGAAGGTTACCAGTGAAGAAATTGTAGCTAAGATCTAATGTCTCCAAAGAAAGGCTATAATAGAATGTATCATTGAGTTGTCCTTGTAACCTATTTCTCGACAAATCAACCTGTTTGATTTCAAAATGTTGAAAACAAGATGGTAAATACTCGGAGATTATATTTTCTGAAAGGTCCAAAATTTCAAGAAAATTAAGTTTACAAAACTCCATTGGAATTGGACCTTCAAGATGGTTATTGGGCATTATAAAATCTACCAAATCTGACATGTTTCCCAACCACCCTGGGACTTTACCACTAAAATGGTTATAGCCAAGATACAATTCTTTCAAAGAGCAATTAGACAAACTTTCTGGGATATATCCAGTCAAGTTATTGTTTTCCAATTGTAACCACATCAAGTTTGTCAGATTAAAATTTCTAGAGAATAAGTGACCTTCCAAATGGTTGTTTGATAACGCTAGCAACCGCAATGAGAAGCAACCCATGGCCAAATGTTCAGGTATTTCACCTAAAAAATTATTATTGGAAAAGTCTAGACTTTCCAATGAGTTCATGTCACCAATAGAAGATGGAATGCTACCGTGAAACGCATTTCTAGAAATGTTTAAAAATATTAACCTCGGTAGATTTGCCCCAATCTCTATTGGAATGTGACCGTAGAATTTATTGACTGAGATATCTAAACTTGTTAAATGTTGGTGAGGATGAATTGGCAATTGGAAAGGTCCAGAAAGGGAGTTATTGACTAGAAGAAGCGTTTCTAGTTTTGTGTTGTTCTCTAACAACCAATTTGGAAATTCTCCCTTTAAATTTAAGTGAGAGAGATCAACTTCATCCAAGTCATATTGATGATAAAGAAATTTGGGAAATGTGCCACCATCTCCATAACCACCTAATACAAAGGAATTTAATTGGAATCGTGGGGCCAAAGAATGCGACCCAATTTCTTTAAATATTTGGTTATTCTCACCATAGAACTTCTTGAGTTTCGAATGGTTGAAAAAAGGTTCAAGTGAAATTGGGATTTTGAAGTGATTGTGTGACACGAAAAGATATTGGATGGATATTAGATGTTTAAGGGGTGATGAGGAGATGCTTTCATTAATTTCATTGAAAGAGATATCCAATACTCGAAGAGAAGTCAAATTGGCCAAGCACCAGGGCAAGGTACCCCTTAGGTCATTGTTGTTCATATACAGCTCTTTTAGTTGCTTCAGCTTGCACAGTCCTAAAAGTACAATAAAACCTTTATTGACTAATGAATATAAAACAAAAACATATACGAAAATATTAATTTATGTTAATGATAAAATGATTAATAATTAATTACCTTGGTTAGGCAGCGTGCCTGTGAGTCCACAACTAGCCAATGATAAAATCTCAAGAGAAGCCATGGGCTTTATTATTTGGAAAAAGCTAATGTTGAGGGCAGTGCCATCCATGAATAAAGATTTCAAATTCTTAAAATTAGGAACACCTATAAACATTAAACAGAGATGCCGCTAAATAAGATATTCAACTTAACATTAGAAATAAAATAATCTCCAAAAAGTTCATTGTAAATTTACCTTGATTGTGCAAGATGCCACTAAGTTTACAGTTCTTCATCGACAAACGTTTAAGCGAAGTGAAAGCTCCAAAGCTTCGAAGAATGGTTATGTGAAGAGAGGAATAATCCAAGATCAAGTCTTCCACATTGGTCAAATTCTTCAACTCTATTGAAAAGGAGAGACTAGTATATTAGATGAAGCTATATAAAAAGCTATTTAATTGGCAGCGACTGTAACTTACCTTGAGTAGTCATTGTTCCACGTCTGAAATTACTATAGCTCAAGTCAAGTTTCTTTAAGAATGAGAATGACCCCAATGACTGTAACAAAGTGCTTCCATCAATATTTTTGAGATTCTCTAGATAAAGGCATTCAACTTTCTCAAACCTTTGAAATCTGAGTCATGGTAACAAATAATCAGAGTTAAATCTTCATTAGTAATTGAGCAATGGAAATTTTGTTTTCATGATTACCTTTAGGAAAAACAAATTTGCCAATCTGGTTTCCACTCAAATCCAGCTCCCCTAAGTTCCTCAACGATTCAACTCCTGGGAAGAGTTTAACCAGAATTAACTTGACAAAAAAATTAAAAAAGCATTTTCTTTTTGTCTAAATTAATTGAGTAAATTAAACATGTTATTGGGATACTGGAAAACAACAAACACAAACTCTAAAAAATGTTCTTCAATATGCTTACCTTGAACAATTACAGATCCATTCAATCTATTATGAAATAGATGTAGTGTTTTTAATGAAGTGAGACCAGCTAGAGATGATAATATACTGTTATCGAGAAAGTTGCCACTTAAATCAAGAACCTCCAATCTTGATAGTTTCTGTAAACCTGCATATAAATAGTCAAACCAATTCTCAAGAATAAAAATTTGTTTCTATGATTACCTTTAGGAGAAACAATTTTGCCAATCTGGTTTCCACTCATATTTAGCTCCTCTAAGTTCCTCAAAGATTCTACTCCTGGGAAGAGTTTAACTAGAATTAACTAGACACTCAAAAAAAATAAATGGATAAATTAAATAAATAAATAAAAAGAATGATCATAGTAATCAATAAATTTTCTTTTTGTCTAAATTAATCGAGTAAATTAAAAATGTTGATTTGTAACCCGGAAACTGCTTTGTATTAATTTTAAAACAAGAAACACAAATTCTTAAAACATGTGATTGAATAAAGATGGGAGAAAAGAAGTATGCTTACCTTGAACAATTACAGTTCCATTCAATCTATTACGATAAGATTAGTGTTTTTAATGAAGTGAGGCCAGATAACGATGAAAATATGCTATTATTGAGGAAGTTACACCTAAATCAAGAACCTCAATCTGGTAGTTTCTGTAAACTGCATGTAAAAAGAATTGCTTGGAAGAGATGATAATCCTAAAAATGATCCACAATATTGAAACTACAAATAAAGAAGAAGATACGGACCTTTGCTTTGAACCCATCCAGATATGCCGTTCCAACTCAAGTCAAGCCACTGAATTCTTGGAAGGGAGAAAAAAAAGAAGTATTTAGATACATTGATCTCCCAGTTCAACTTTCTTACATAACTAAGGAGTTTGATCACTCTGCCTGGTGTGTTGCACTCAACCCTTTTCCATTGACACAGTCTGTTTTTCATCTCCTCACCCAATCTTGAAGATAATAAGTACTATTCAAGAATGGATAGTAGTTGCAAGAGAGCAATCCTATCTTCCTCCAACACTTTCACTCACACCACCCTTCTAAATAAACCAACATCATTACTAGAACACCATCCCATTTTGAACCCATCTTGATTATGCAATGAACACAAGAACAAACATCTATGCTATTTATAGGAGGTACTAGTCTTAGAGGACTATCAACTTTCTCCTGCAGTGGTGAGAACATAACCTCATTTTCCAAGTCATGTAGTTGGTAAAACTTTTGGCAGAGTGGGACATTAGGATATAAATTATTTTCTATTGACTTCTGAGTCAATAGAAAATCCCTGATACAAGCAAGCAATTCCTTAAACTGTGGGTTCATGTTTTTAATTTAGACAGTTTTAGAGTGATTGTTTGAAAACTAGCATTAGTGGGCATTAAAATGTTTGAAATCCAAAATTATTGATGCAACTGTTCCGATCTATCTATGACTCTGTTACTAGATCCGTTCAAACACTTAAAGACTACGAACTTAGTGAAGCAACTTTTCTTGTTAAAAAGTTGGCAAATTCGATCGAACTCAACCAAAGTGAAGTTACGTTGAGTGTAAAATAAAATTACCCGAAAATTATCTGTGAAGAATGTATATAAAGATATATATCTAAATGAACATAAGATATGTCTGTAGTTTTACAAATGAGTAATTATTAATTGTCTTAGAGAAGACGTTTCAATTATACAACCATCGTAAGAATTGCTTAGTGGATGTTCAAAACGAAATAATATCCTTCGTCATGTGCAACTTTAAATTGTAGATGATCAAAAAATGGTTATGGGAATGATCTATCAGGCGTAGTTGATTGACTTACACAATGAGTTGGCACTTCATCTTCAAAATTATCATTGTTTAAAATAAGGTAGTTTAGGGAAGATAGCATGTCATTCCGATTTGCAATGCTATTGTATAAGTGATTGTAACTTAGATCCATGTAACCAAGGAAGGGTTGAAAGGAATACATTGTTTAGTTGTTCTTGCAACATATTCCTAGACAAGTGAATTGTTTGATAAATAAATGTTGGTTTACAAGCTGAAGAATAAAAGGAAAGAACGCAAAAGTATTCTTGAGACAAGGTGTTTTTTCAGAGGATGTTTGTCTTATTGGTCCTTTTTTACTTGTAACGTGTCTACTTTATCATTTCATCAAAGATTATATACAGACATATGACATCATCATACATCACAAAGTATTCACCTGCAGAGCATAATTACATTCCTAATTATTAGAGATATTTCTAAACATTAAAGCAAAGCCATACATTTTTAACTAATGCAAAATATGTCAAATGTTACATCCCTAACAATAGCTAACCACTTAGGGTAGTGACAACTCGACACCTTCAAGATTGGCTCTGAATCATCGACCTCTTTCAGGTCGCATAATGCTTCTGATCGCATGCATTTGGTCGCATGGATTCTTCTGTGTTGCTTCCAGGTTGCATTACTTCGGTCGCTTCTTCAAATTGCATGCCCTTTAGGTCACATGCTTCCAGATCGTTACTGACCATCATCCTATAGCTCAATCTATTGTCTTGCACATTTGAGTGCAAGTTTCCGATCGGGCAGCTTGAAAGCACATCTCTGTTTCTAGCAAGATAATCACTTGTTTTAACAATAAAACTCTGACAAGTGGTAAACTCCCCAAAACTATTATTTGAAAGTCAAAACTTCAAGATTTTAAGTTGACAGAGCTGAGTTGGAATTGGACCTTCTATACATTATTAGGCATTCAGTATCTTCTATTGTGATAAACCAAACCATTGAGGATCACGAGGGATATGGTTGTCACTGAAATACAATCCTCCCGATGAAGAACAATTAGACAACATTTTAGGATCTTTCCAATGAAGTATATTACCACCCATTGTACCTCATCAAGTTTGTCAAGATAATTGATGACATAATCTTTCACAAATTCAGGAGTTATATAATATAGCTAGTATTATTCCGTTCTTAGACACACCATATTAATAATATCCACTTTATTTTATTCATGTAGATAATGATTAAAAAAATTTTGTGCAGATTAATGATTTATCAACAAGATTAATGTGAAATAAATAAATAATTTTTTTTTGAATAATGTTCCTGTAGTAATGTAACTTAACAAGATGTTCTATCAAACCATAGTTTAAGAACAATGAAAAGCATTGACAAGATTTTACCAAAGAACAAGTGTTAAATCAAGTTTAATGTGAAATAAAATAAATAATTATATGTGGAAGATATTTTAGAAAAAAAAAAAATTTACAAGCACATATGAAAGAAAAGATGTATAATCGGTGTGAAATCGAATTCTAAAAATCAATTATAGGGCTTGACCTCCTATAGAGATCTATCTAACTAAGAGTTCAATGCACACAATTGTTTATTTCTCCATTTATTTCTTTTTCTTTTTTTAAAATTATTGTTCTTCCCTTTCTTATCTCTTAGTGCTTTAGTTATCAAAGTCTCCATCACTTGTAAATGAACGTAAATAATTTAATTTTGGGATTAATTTGAATAAATTGGCCGTGTTAAAGGGGTCGAGAAATAAGGTCGTTGAAAAGATAGAAAACTAATGTGATGTGATGACACATCTTTTTAATACAACCACATAACACTGCTTGACTTTCTCATATATTTCTATTTTTTTTTTCATTTACTTCTCTTCCTTTTCTTAGCTCTTAATGCTTTAGTTATCAAAGTCTCCATCACTTGTAAAAGAATGTAAAGAATTGAATTTTGGGATAAATTTGAAAAAATTGGCCGTGTTAAAGGGGTTGAGAAATTAGGGTCTGTTTTGAAAAGATAGGAAATTGATGTGATGACACATATTTTTAATACAACCACTTAACACGGCTTGACTTTTCTCATTATTTCTATTTTTTTTTCATATTTCTTCTTTCCTTTCTAGCTTCTCAGTGCTTTAGTTATCAAGGTCTCCATCACTTGTAAATGAATGTAAAGAATTGAATTTTGGGATTAAATTTGAATAATTGGTCGTATTAAGGGGGTTGAGAAATTAGGTTATGTTTTGAAAATATAGAAAACTGATGTTGAGATTACATCTTTTTAATACAACCACATAACACCGCTTGACCTTTCTTATTGATTTTTCCATCTCAAAATTTCTATTCTTTTGGAAGTTATATTACAATTTCCACACTTGTTTTGAATGTCAAAGATTTTATATAAACAACAACCTAGAAATAGACATTTTATTAATTATTTTCCAAAAAAAAAAAAAAAAAAGAAGAAAAAAACCTCTTGTTTTGAAATACTGTTATTTAGTTTCTAGCTTGTCTTATACTTCAAATTGAATGTGGAAAAATTTTATGTTAGTTGTATTGACTTGTTGACTTGGACAACTATCAACTTCTTTTATAGTGTTGTGAACGTTACCTCATTTTCCAAGTCAATATAACTTATATAGCAGAATAGGGTTATTTACTATATAAATTATTTTTATTTCTAAAAAAGGAATCTCTTTAGGACTTAATAATAATATTTAAGTTCCAACACTACATAATTTGTAAGAGTATGTAGGGATTTCATAGGATCACAGTTATATTTTATTTCTTCAATTTAGGGTCTAAATTAGTGTATTATTTTTATGAAATGTAATTGAAAATTTTAATTTATTGCCTTGGAAATTAGTACATTTTCAGTGCACGTTTTGTCTTTGTTTCAGTTTCAGGGAACTAATTTGATGTCACATCTTTTTAATATAACCATATAATATGGCTTGACTTTACCTCCTTTAGTTATCTATCCATCTCAAAGTAACCAAAATTTCTTTTCTTTTGAAATTTATATTACAATTTTCACACTTGTTAGTAAAAATAAGGAAGAAAAGATGGATTGCTAGCACATCAATTTTATAAAATTAATTAACATGGCTTGACTTCCTTTAGTGATATATCCAACTTGATCTACAATTTGCAATCACACACTTGTTTTTGTTAGGAGACTTTGAATAAACTTTATCCAAATTCAAGAGTTATATTAATGTAACTAGCTTATTACTCTTTTCTTAGATCACATCATATCAATATATCTCCACTTTATTTGGTTCATGTAGAATAACTATTAAAAATAAAATTTTGTGTAGATAAATTATTTTTATTAAATGGTGATTATTTTATCTTAATTATCATTTTAGCAAAGCATTAAAAGATTTAAAAAAAAAAAAAAAAACCCCTTTTTCATTTAAACAAAATGAAACCTTCTACATGTCAAGCTAATAACCTTTACATTGACTAGTTGACCTAGAAGGACTATCAACTTTTTTTTACGGTGTAATGAACGTGATCTAATTTTCCAAGTCAAGCTATTTGGTTAAAACGTATGGTAGAATAGGTCATTTACAATAGAAATTATAGATTTCTTTCTTCTATTGACAATTATTGTCCTTCTTTTAACCTTGAAGAAAACTACTGACTTCTGTGAGTTAGGTTCACGTCTTCTCAATTCTCTTCAACATATTAATAAGAATATCATAGAAATTCAAGAAAGAAAATATTGTAGATAAAACTTGAAACGCAGCGTTTTATGAGTTAAAGTTATACGCTGCATTCCATTAACAAAACCACAACCAAGAACGTTGAAGAAGAACAAATCAAAAGCAGGGGCTTTAAGCTTATCAATAATTATTAAAGTTATAATATTTATCATGATGTTGAAAATTATAAATTATCTCACTTTTTGAAATTCGCCTCTTTCTTGAATTCTTGACTTCACCCACTGATTGGATGATTGTGCATATTATTGTGACACATGAGATAAATTTTCTCATGGTAACCTGATCCCACTTATTTCAGGCTTTGGTTCATG